TTCCTCCTCTGAAAAGGGAGAGCGACGACAGTATTTACATACTGTTGGTGTGAAGATTAAATTAGATAATAGAGCTATAACATGTATATATAAAGCACTGCCTGCCTCCTCAGACACAGTCAAATGAACAGGATTTGGAGGCATTCCTCTAGTCAAGCCTCAGTGTCTTTCTTTCCTCTTTCTTTCTTCCTTTTCAGTACTGGGGATTTCAGTACCCAGGGCTTCATGCATGCTAGGCAAGTATTCTATCACAGAGCTATACCTCTAGCCTTTTTTACTTTTAATTTTAGGGTCTCACTAAGTTGCCCAGGCTGGCCTCGAACTTGCAATCCTCTTGCCTCAAGTAGCTGGGATTATAAGCATGCACCACAGAACCAGATTAGTTTCTTTCTTTATCCCTAAAATAGAGCTAATAATTCCTGCCTTTCGGGGCATTGTGAAGATTAGCAAGGATGAGCTGATCTCTAATAAATGTATTAGAGTCCCTTCCCCTCCCCGCTTCCCACTCCAATGTCTGCGTGTTCACTCTGTTCTCCCACCCCAGGGGAACAACTGCCCTTGCCCCCTCTTGGGCCTAGGAATTTATCCTGCTAGTGTGGTTTGGACTCAGGAAGCACCCACCCAGGCCCTGGGAGCCAGTTCATGAATTCTAGGATTCTGGGTATCCAGAGCTGGCCAGAGCAGAAAGGGGTAGAGCTCAGCTAGGCATATCCTCTTGGCCTCTCTGACTCCTTGTACCATGGGAATGGACCAGAGGAGAAGGCTGAAATGGCCCTCTGAAGCGCTGAGGTCCTCTGCCTTTCCTGATTGCCTGGGCCTAAGGGCTGTACTAATTAAGAATAAATGACAAAGCCTAGCACAGCACAGCACTGGCACTTGGGAAATAGTAGAAATGGCCGCCTGTTCATTCTCTTCACAGCAGCCCTGAGAAGCAAGTACTTTTGAGCTCATTTTGAAGATGAAGAAACAGACTCAGAAAGGTGAAGTCACTTGGTGTCACACAGCTGTATCTAAGGGCAGAAATCAGATTCAAAGTGGAATCTGATTCCAAAGGGGCTGCTAGCCAAAAGATGGAAATCCCAAGGTCACCAGCACATCCTTTTTGGAGCTGAGCCAATAGCCAGATGCTGGACTGGACATAGTCTCTGTCCCAGAATGAAGACCAGACCCACTCAGGATGGGAGGAGGTGCTGATTTACCCTCAGTAACCTGCCCATGAGCCTGTCTCACAACTAGGTAGTAGCAAGCATCCTACCTACATCTGTGCATACCAAACGTGTGTGGAGCTGTGTACCAGGCCCTGGGGACCCCGAATGAATCAAACTGGGACTCTGCCTTCCAAGTGCTGCTAATCTGGTAGGAAAGGCAGATGCATAGCTAAGAAACCTTACCACAGGCAGTGTGGAGTAGGGACACGGGCATTAAGGATGTAAGCTGTGGCAACAAACTACCTGGGCTCAGGTCCTAATCTCTCCTTATTACCTTTGGGCTTTTTGTTTCTTCGGTGATTTGGTTTTACTTTGTGTTGTTTTATTGCAGATTGAACACAGGGCCTTGTGCATGGGAGGCAAGCACTCTGCCTTGAGCTACACCCAAGTCCACTTTTTACTTTTGGGAACTAAGCTGGTCACTTAACCTTTCTGGGCCTCAGTTTCACCTGAGTAAAATGGGAATGATGCTAAGATTTTTACAAGCTAGCCATGAGGATTCAGCTAGGTCGTTAACACGAAATGCTTATATGAATCTAGCACACAGGAAGAAGCAGTCAGGGGCTGGGGATTTAGCTCAGCAGCACAGTGCCTGCCTGGCAAGTGTGAGGTCATGAGTTCGATTCCCAGTCAGAAACCGCTCCCCAACAAAACAAAACAAAACAAAACAAAAAAAAGTACAGGAAGAAGCAGTCAGTGAGCCTCAGCTATGTGTAATTGGCTGGGGGCAGAGAGGAGAAGCTTACTCTTGGTGGGGAAGAAAGGTCAGGAGGACTTCCTGGAAGAGGAGACATCTGTGTTAAGCCCTCAGGGTTGCAGCGGGGAAGCGCATTCCAGGAGGAATGCACAGCCTGGACAAAGGCCCAGAGCCGTGAAAGGATGTGACCTGTTTAGGTGTGGCCAAACACAGAGTTGGCAGGGAAGAGTGGTAAGAATGAGACTGGGAAGGCCATTTCCAGGGCCTTGAGTGTCACACTGCTGAGTTTGGACTTTAAAGGGCTCGGGAAACAGAGCAGGACTGTGCCTCTTTTAGACAGATGATTCTAACCAAAGTGTAGAGAGTGAACCGGAAGGGGAGAGGCTGAGTGTCAGGGAGCAGAACTGAGCCTGTTCCCCGTGGGTTAAAGTCCCTCGGTAGCTCCCCACCGGCCTCCAGATCCAGCTCTGACCTCTCTTATTTCCTGCCTTCCCACGTGGTCCTTCCTCTGCTTGGAACATCTTCCCCTCCCTCTGCCTGGCTCATTCCTTGTGCTCCGCAGGTCTCGGTGGAGCAGCACTTCCTCCTGAAGCACTCCTGGACAGCCCTGTCCAGGTTATGTACTCTTCCCCTCCTCTGGGCTCCCAGACCTGCCCATCTCCCGACTGGACTCTGGCCGAGGGCAGACATTGTGTGCCTGCTTATGACTGTATCCACAAGGCCCTGTGGCACACTGCCCAGCACACAGGGACACTCGACCTCTGATCAGACGGAAGAATGATTAAGCCTGTTAGGGGCAGATGTGACAGTGGGAACCAACGCATGGGGTCCGCATAGTAGTGAGGAGAGGAGAGACAGTGACTGAGTTGACAGGACATGAGAATGAGGAGAGGTAGGCACCGAGGAACAGAAAGACTAGGTGATGACTCAGAGGTTTTTCTCACTTGAATAAGCCCTACGCCTTTAACAGAGACAGGAAACATGGAGGAGGGGGCTGGAAGCAGGGAGGGAGGAGAAGGCCAGAACAGAGAGGCAGGTGACTGCCGCCCTGGCACAGGCTCCCTGGAACGATCCTCCCCCGAATCTGCCCACTGCTGGATCCTCATCTGTGTCCAAAATTTAGTGGAATGTGGAAACACACGCCTGTGATCCCAGCAGCACTCTGGGAGGCTGAGGCAGAAGGATTGCAAGCCTGGACAACTTAGCAAGACACTGTCTCAAAATCAAAATAAAAATTTATGAAAAGGGATAGAGATGTAGCTCAACGCAAAGACCCTGAATTCAGTCCACAGTACTGCAAAGGAAGGAAGAGAGGCAGGAAGGAAGGTAGAAAGGAAGGAAATGTCTTCAACTCTCTCAAAACGTTGCCTCCTCAGTGAAGCCACCTACAAATTATTCTCTACCAACACTCTCTCTTCATCTCTTTCCCAGCCCCCAGCGTTACAATTGTATCTCTTCATTTGTGTTCTGTTTACAGTGAATCCCCCTCACTACACTGGAAGTCCCATGAAAGCAGAGATCTTGCTCATTTCCCTGTGTATACCTGTCAGCCTCCCTAACACATGGAGGTGCTCAAGAATGTTTTTTGAACTTGAAGGCCTAAGGCAGAAGGAAATTTGAGCCCAGCCTGGACAACTGAGTGAGACCCTGTCTTGAAATTTTGAAATTTTAAAAGGGGTGGGAATGTGCCTCATTGCTCTCTGGGCTCAATTCTAAGTACCAAGAAAATTTTTTGAATGAATGAATGAATGAATGAATGCCTGGAATGACACGATAAGGAATTGGACTCAGCCTCCAGGGCATGGGGAGCCGTGGAACATTCTTAAGATAGGCACTGTCAGGATTCAGTGTTTTAGAAAGCTCACCCAGGTGGCTGTGTGGAAGATGGATTGGGGAAGGAAACCAGGTGACAAGAGGAGGGGAATTGAGGATCCGCTGGGGGAGACAAAGACACAGCACCTGGGGCTGGGCCTGGGCGCTCCTTCCCTGCGACGGCCCTGAACCCCCTCAGAATGCTCCCCCGCCTCAGGCCTGTTGTCTCAAGTCCAGCAGCGGGCGGTGGGAAGAGCAGGGCTGGCAAAGCTGACACTCACTAATCACGGCCCTCACCCCGGAGCCGCACTGACTGTCTGGTCTCCATGGAGACACGGCAACCTCCGGCCACTTGTTAATGGCAGCTCAACAAGGCTGCGGCAACAGGGATGGGCCTGACCATGCCCACATCACCCAGCTCCATCCCACCCATCCCACCCTGGGCCTCTGCAGCAAACCCTGGGGGCACCTGGGAAGGGGTCAGGATGGAGCTCTGGTGGCTAGAAGGCACCTTCACCCCTCCGCAGCCCCGCCTCCCTTGGCACTGCCAAGCGAGGGCAGAGGCAGCCTCTGCCCAGGCTGACTCCTCCGCAGGGCTGCTGGGAAGCTGAGCTCATGCAGGTCACCCAGGCAAGGCCAAAGGGCTGGAGGGGGATGGTGAGGAGTCGGGAGGGGACCTGCCTGCATCCCACACACTAGCAGAACGGAGGGGGGTGTGCTTCGCCTGCCCTGACAACCCTCTGCTCTGCTAGCCTGAGGCAGGGGCCCAGTTGGGAACCATCTGTCCAGAACCTCTTCCCAGAGCACTGTCACTACATCTGAAATGCCACCATTAGCAATTCACTCCTTAGGGAGGCAGCATGGCATAGCACACAAAACACTGGCTTTGCAGTCAGGCAGGCCTGGGTGCAGGCCTGGCTCTGTCTCTCTACCTCTGAGCATTGATTTCCCTGCCTGTGAAATGGGGATAAGAATTGTTACGTGTTTGTCCGTGTGTGTGCACACAGGCACACAAAGAAGCGCACAAGCAGACTCACAAGCAGGTTGACTCGTCTGGGACATCTAAACTCACTACCTGCGCCACCTCCTCCCAGAGGCCTTGCTTTACTCCTACAGACCAGCTGGATACATCCTCCATCGTCCCTAGGACAGAGCTTGCATATGCTCCACCCTCCTGTATCTGTCCCACATTTGTCCTCCCCACAGGCTGAGGCCAATAGGGCTGGGCGGCACAAGCTGCAGGAAGGAGCTGTGCAGTAAACAGATGAGGTGGGGAGCGGGGAGCCTCCCTCTGCTTTTCCTCTTGCTTCCTCCTTAACGCTCTGGAGCAGTGCTCCGTGCCTCTCTTCCCTTCTCTCCTTCACACTTTTGTGGGTCCGTCGGTCTGTCCCACCATCCTTCCTGCAAATGCTTCAGGAGCCCCTCCCTTAGGTGGGCCTCAGAGAGGATGCAGATGCCACCCAGCCTGCAGGTGAGACAGAGGCCAGGTTCCCAGCTCCAGACACCTGAGGCGTGCTGTGGCTGGCTGGGGACATGGGTACAGCTGCCTCCCCCGTCTGTGTTTTCCCTTTTTCCTTGGCCACACCCAAGGCAACTCACCAAGCTAAAAAGGCCCTTGGAAATTATCTAGTCCAACGCATGACAGACAGCCAAATGAAGAAACTGAGGCCCAGGGCAGCCCAAGATCCCACAGCAGCTCTGTTTTTGAGCTGACAATGTACCAATTATGTGGGCCTGCTCAGGAGGCAGCTTTTGGCTCTCTCAGCCCTGCTGACAGCTGTGTTCCCAGTGGCAGCTGGAATGCTGGTGGGAGGCCTGTCTGGCCTTTGCACCCTGACTCCCCAGGGCGGATCCAGGTGGCTATGATGGGGCCCAGGGCCGAGATGTGGGTGAGGGGATGACTGAGAAAGTAGTCAGGGCATGGGATAGCTGGAAGATGGAGGGGGCAGCATTCATTTTAGGACTGAATCAGAAATCTCCTCTCTGCTGTTCACTTGCTGGGTAACCTTGGTTACATCACTTGGCCTCTCTGAACCTCAGTTTTCCTGTCTATAAAATGGCACTACCTTTGTAGAATGAAAACATTTTGTCAGTGTTCTCTGCACAAAAGTGGAGCATTTTTCTGTCTCCCTCCTGTGAGTTCCTGACACAGAATTGGATGCAAGGATATAGAGCTGTAAGTGTCCAGTCCAGACTGTTCACTTGCTGAAGGAGGAAATGGGACTAGAAAGGGGGAACAAGTTGTTCAAGGTCACCCAGCAAGTATAGGGCCAATGTGGGCCCAGAGCCCAGGCTGTGCACAAGGTCCCCCTGCCCAGCTGCCTCGCCTGCTCATCCAGCCCCTTGGTTTTGTCTCCCCCAGTGAGTGGGCGCAGAATGGGCCCAGCTTCCTTCCTGCCTCCCTGCCCGCCGTCTGCCACGTTGGCAGCCGCCCGAAGCCTTCTCGCCCCTGCTGCTGCTGCTGCTGATGCGGCATCAGCCGAGACCAACCCGCCGAGAGTTTGCCCAGAGCAGCCAGGGCTGCTGGAGCCGGGGCTGGGCTGGCTGACTCTGCCAGACAGGAGGGAGCAAGCCAGCCGGTGGAGAGAGGGAACAAGGGCTGGGCCAGCCCCCAGCCTTCCCATCCCTTTCCCCAATCTCACCAGCCAAGGGAGGGAGGCAGGAGGCTGCAGTTGGGAACCAGGGGTTTCAATGTCTGACAGTAAGGTTCAGGCAGCTGGGTCTGTCCCCATGGGAACATGCATGCACATATGTGTGTGTGGATGAGCGTGTTGGGGGCAATTTGTGAGTCCTTGTTTGTTTCAGCGTACACATACTATGTTCTTGCTTGTGTGAACATAAAAAAACCACTGTGTGGGGCTGGGGATATAGTTCAGCAGCACAAGTGTCTGCCTGGCAAGTACAAGGTCCTGAGTTCGATTCCTGGTACAAAAAAAAATAAAAAACAACCACTGTGCGTGTGTGTAAGCATGAAGAAGAGCTGTGTGTGCCCTGAGGTTGAACACAAGCTGTGTACAGAGAAATGTATCTAGCAATGTTTGCACCACTGACAAGGAATCTAGTTATGCACAGAGAGTCAGGAGATGGGCCCTAGTGGTATATGTGTGGGTGTGTTGAGAGCCCCTGTGAATTTGTCATAGTGTACAAGAGGATAAGGACTGAACTGTGGGTATAGGCTTGCCTTTGTGCACACAAGAGGTCACAATGGTGTGTGCATGTGGGAGTGCTGCACGCCTCGGTGCCCAGGAAGACATTGTGTAACCATGTGGACTAGTGTGGGTGTCCAGGGGGCAGGCATGCGGCATCTTCGTGCCCAGCGGACATTGCAAGCGTGGTTCCTGGTGGTGATGCACGAACACTGTGTGTGGCTCTGTATACTTGGCTGTGTGCACAAGGAAGCTCGCGGCACGGGCATTGTGTTTCTGCGGCTGCATTTTTACAGGGCAGTGGCGGTGCTGGTGCCGGCGGTGGGGGTGATGCTGATGGCACCGTGTGGGGAGACTGTGCTGCGGGTTTGCACTTGTTTCTCTGTACCAAAGGCCTGTGTGTGACTGTTGTGCGTGTCTGTGAGCGGCGGGTGCTGGAAACCGCGTGCTGAGGTGTGGGAAGCTGAGTGCAGGAAGGGGGAGGGAGTACGTGGCTGTGTTTGTGCTTGTCTGTGAGCCTGGGGTCAGATGCACTCCACGTGCTACCTCCTGTGTGCACAGGTGGCCGCTGTGTCCAACCGTGTCTTTGTGTGTTTCAGGTCGCCTGAATGTGCACAGGAGGAGGACTTGGGAGGCGGGGAGGATTTGAGTGCGTGCCTGCGCAGGCCCCTTTAACGTGGCAAGTCTAAGAAATGTCGGCCTTCTTGGCAGCAAATCTGGGCTTGGTTCCACTGGGGGTGTCTGCAGAGAGGGGCTCTTAGGAGGGACGTGCTTGAGCGAGAGAGACAGGAAGGGAAGGGGGGGGCAGCCCCAGCTCGGGGTTTCCAGGAGGGAAAGCCAGACATTGGAACTTGTCAACTCTACCTCCTTCCCCACCCCCACCTCCCCGCTGCTGCCTCCCCTGCTGGCGCCTGCAGGCTGTTGGCAGACAGATGGACAGACAGACAGTGCACACATAGACTGCTCTGAGGCACAGAGCCCAAATTCGAGCCCCTAAATACACAAGCCTGGATACTGAGGGCCAGAGAGGGCAGAGGAAGTAGCTGGATCTTGGAGGAGCACATGTGTTTATATGTGTTGAGGGGCAGGAGGGGCTGTTGGCCTCTGGTGCTTCAACCCAGACTAGCCCTCTTGGGAGGGGGAGGAAGCTGTTGAGGGAGGCTCTGGGGAGCTCCTGGGGAGGGGGCTTTTATGGCTCTAGGGAGGTTCCCAGAGCTCCCAGTCCCCCTCCCTGTTTACACAACTGCTACAATGTCTGAGAATCTCATTGCTTCAAAAAACACCGGCTGCAACGCCTTATTTTTATAGTGGCGCAAGTTCAGAGAGGGGCAGCAACTGATCCAGGATCACACAGCAGAACCAGAATGGAGGGATTCTGGTGGAGGGCTTCTTCTCTCAGTCCTGTCTGTTGGGCATGTGGGCTCACGGTTCAGTGAACCCTAACTTTCCCTTGGCTCATTTAGCACTTTCTTCCACATAGGCCTTTAGGATATGACATGACTTTTTTTTTTTGGTCCCAGGAGCTATGCCTGCTGCCCACTAGGTCATCAGTTTGTCACAAAGACTTAGACACTCTCTAGCGGAACCTGGAAGAGAAGAGGAAATCTTGGTTCTGAGTGAAGGGCTACTGGAGAGAGAGTGATGGAATGGGAGAGAAGGAGGAATTCAAGAAAAGAGGAAGAGCCAGGTATGGTGGCGCACGTCTGTAATTCCAGCACTTGGGAGGCTGAGGCAGGAGGATCGTTGCAAGTTCAAGGCCAGCCTGGGCTACAAAGTGAGCTCAA